TCCAATATCTGAATTGCTGATACATATTTAAAAGCAGTCAAATATCCACCAGCACTGATTGAGTTTAGGATTTTTTTCTTCTCATAAAACTCTTGTCGATATCAGCGCACTTGGGTCACTAAAAAATTATACTAAAATAAAATTTTGCTACTTAAACTAATGCATGGAGCTAATAGAACTGAGCTATCGAATTATCTTTGTAAGCGCTTTTTCACTCGAATCCTGAAAGGTTGTCGGCCCTAGAAATTTAAACCCACTCGAATTCACAAAGGACGTGCGCTAAAGCTTCAAGCTCTTCCTACTGCCCGAAAAAAGATTGGATTGTTGGGGATTATGCTCAAAGTTTTTCGCGAAAAAGAGGGGAAAACACCATCATTTGCTCTATGCTTCACATTCAAGTTGAACATATAAGTTGATGGTATAAAAGCTTGTAAGTCGCAGTCGCAAAATATTAGACCCCCACGATCTATGCCTATTTAAAATCATACTAATTTTTTTCATTCGGTCGGTGGTACCTTTTCAGCAAAGAAAATCAGACGTAACAGTCAAACCAAGAATGTTTTGGTGGAGTTAAAAATTAGGCATTTATGAAAATGGGACGTTAAACAACCGCACAACGCAATAAAATCGTTGAAATCTACTTCTAACATTGAGATTCAGACCAGGCCAAGTTTCGTGCTTTAAGAGTAGATTATGGCACACATAATCGTCCAACCACTCAAGCAATATAAAAATGCGTCTGTTTATTGGCATTCTCAAGTGCTGGGGCTTTCATCTATATAAATTCCAGGTTACACAACAACTGAAGCCAGCGGAAAAATGTTAAGAATCCTCAAATAATGTGAGAGAGGCTATAACACCGAAAACAGCTTACTGTATGGTAACCGAATGCGTTTTATTTCCGTACATTTTCGGAACAGCGAAATGGACAACCCTGTTTTTCGAGCAAAACGAACTTAGTTCCAGGTGTCTGGTCCAAATCCAGGAAGTAATAGTATTCCATTTAAACATATCATCCGAAAATTTCATCAAACCGTACCATAAATTTGTATATTTTTTCAAAAAGATCAATCCATATCCCATCCAAAAAGAATTTCAAGTAACAAGAACTATAAAAGCTAGTTTTCAAATAAATTAATCTATATTCCAGATCCCGGAGAGATGTAGTCTTCCTGCTAATTTAATGAACATTGCACCGATTTTCCAGTAAATCGAAGAATAAATACGATTTTTTCGAATAGTTCAGTCCCCGGTCCACTTTCGGAAGTATTTTTGCCGAAAAAGCCTTTTCGGTAACCATAGAAACGAACTCACAAATTTGCAATAAATTCTGCCGAGTAGTTTCGGAAGTCATTGGAAACAAACATTCAAACAAACGCTTTTTTATCTATTTGAATATATAAATTCTTGAATATTTATTTGAGAATCAAATGCATATCAATATGTTGTAACTTCCTGTTTATTGGTCTTGCAAATATCAAGGATGTTGGGAATTGAGATACACACATGTATCAGACGAATGGAAGTATTGTTATTTATATTTTTGCTTTCCACGTTAACTTATTTAAGTGAAAAATGTCGTCATGGACACCCACATTGGTTCGCTGAAAGTATTGAAAAATTGATTGCAATTGTGTATTTATGTGTAAATATGTTTACTCATTTCAGCCGGTTTTGGAATATTCGTGGGTAGATGAGCGACACATCGCAGACACATACTTCATTTTCGTGGTATACTCATATGTATGTACATTACAATTTAATCACCGTCTCTGAATAATGTCTGTTTCAATGGCTGCAATGGGATATACCCTATAATCGGTATTGTAATTTATTGTATAACACTACTGTATATACATATGTACATAAGAACATGTTCACTTGTTCGGCGGCAAACATGGCCTCTTAAGGCTGTACAGTTATTTAGAAATTATTGCGTAGGTTTAGCCAGCTAACTGTATACGAGTATGTATGTTTTTGTTTAGTAAAAGCGTTTTGTGACATTTTCCATACTTTTGGGAACCTAAAACTTTGTTTATTATGCACATTTACTATGGTGGATATTTAATCGCGCCCCTTTATTTGTTATGTGTTCATTTGCTTAAACAAGTTCCACATCCGAAAAAGAATTGGTTTTAAGAAACATAAGCCTGATCGGAATTAAAACTTTCAATTCAAATGGCAGGCAAATGGTTTTGAAAAGAATGCAGCAAACCATAATCAGTTGATATCAAGCCAACAGAATAGATGTGATATCAGTTTCTATTTGAACTATGTAAATATTTAACAGGTTATCAAAGAACACACATGCGTGGTTATCAAGATGGTAGATCGTAATTTCAATAATTTCGGCTTGGACCATGATCGCTTTCGGTCTAGGTTAACGTATCATATTTTGTAGATATTAGTCGTGTGGCGTTTTATGAGTAGATTTTTTTTTTAATTCGTGAGGAACTCACATCCGGGTTTGTTTGCTTGTCAAGCTGCTGTAAGTGCAGGTAAACGGTTGAATTCTTTGCCTAATCTCGAGTTGGAAAATGCCGGTTAGTTTCGATTGACGTCTTATTTGGTTGTCAGCGGTAATGATTGAGTGAACAGGACGTGGTGCGGGTTGAATATTTCAGGACAAAAGTGGGGAAACCAATGTTGGCGGTCACCACTTAAACTGCTTATAATAATAAACGTTCAAAACTAACGGAAGTGCTCTTAATTTCAAACAACTGAGGTTATAAAACCACACAGTCTCTACAACTCTTTAAAAAAGTCATGCAAATATGATCCTGATCAAATAATTCCTTGCTTTTTTGTAAATTGTGCTGAGTATATATACAAATCTTTCACTAAATTTCCCTGAGTAGAAAATTCTAGACTCTCTGCAATTCCAATTTTTTATTTGAATTGCTTACGATAAATCATTTGAGTCATTCAATCTCCTCTATTGTACAACTGTGGCTTTGTTAAAGGGAAATCTACAACTATTAATTTACTTGAGTTCACTTCTCTGGGTATTACCATGGACCCTCAACTGTACTTCAGGCTTCCAATTGGTGTGGCAGTTTTCAAAGCAGAGGCATATTGGTATTTTTAAGACGGTAGTCAAAGGAATTCAAAAACTCTTTTGCTACTGAAATGTGGGTCACATTATTAGTAAGATCAATTCTGGAATATTGCTCTATAACTGGAGCCCGAGGATTTAAATCTCGAATAGAATCCGCTCAAAATCTGTTTCTCCTTTTTGCCTTAAGTAATTTGCTTTGGGACTTTCAATGTAATCTTCCGCTTTACACTATCAGTCTGAAAATATTTAACCTCCAAACTCTTGCTAATCCCAGGGAAATTCTTGATGTAATTTTCATAATTAAAAAATCAACAGGCTCAACTTCTAGTTCACTTCTTGTAAACTCGGGGAAATAATTATGAACTTCCCGACACCTGGCATCGTTTGTGTTTTTATTTCAACATTGATTTTAGTACTTTTGACATATCGGACACGCCTTTTCAATTTTTTGCGTCTTGATGTTCTTTCCACAAATACCTGAAGTTTATACTAAGCCACTTTCGAATGACTAATGGTTTTTTATGAGAAGCCTTTATTTCATAACAGAAATACAATCGTAAAGGTTTACATTCCCAGCCGAGGGGCGACTGCAATTGAAATTATTAATAGTTTTCAAAATATTTGACGCAATGTTACTTGCCAAAAATCAGCTGATTAATTTTTGTTCTGCAGCTGAACTAGTTCTCGAGAATCAATAGATTCTTCCTCATCGTGACTAATGCGAACTGCGCACTGCGCGCGAATGGCCGAAAGGAGGAAAACCGTTGGGAAGAATAATAATAATAACATATTATATAAAATGCCATCGAAAGAACTGAGATTTGGAAAGCAAGAAATCGAATGAAACTGAAATGCTCGTAAATCAAAATTTATTAACCATATTTTCTTTTTTTGAAAATATATTGCAAAAAATACTAATTTTTCAAGTTGGTATTAGAACTAGTTTTCGGACAAGCGTTGTAGTTTTAACAGCGCAAATATCAATTATATATATATTCTAAATCAGGTTTATTCTAAATCAGTTGAGGGTACTTTTCCCATAAACATAAATAATATGTGTAAAATTTATATATTTAATGAACAAAAAAAAGAATGATATGAAATGAGATGCATCTTAAGAGCATTTCCGAGCTGAAACTCGCTCAGTATCAGATTACTAATCTTTAGAGCTTTTCCAAGTGAAATAATTGAAAACTCCAGGATTTAATATATTCGTATGATTTGCCTAACTATTTATTATTAAACTAAATAACATTTATTGACATACATACATACATACATATCTAATGTATGTTGTTTTCATGTGCGCTAGTGTTAATTAATTATAGGGAAATGGGATCGGCTTCAGATTGTAAAGATTTTGGTGTAGGTGATGCAAAACATTGCTTACTATAAGCTTAAATTTTAATGTACACACATATGTATATACGTGTGTGTAGATATTTTCATGTGCAGCACTTAAAAATTACCATAATCGAGAATGCCTTGCAAAAAGCATGAAACTCGGTATTAAGTTTGTTTTTAGATATTCAACAATAAGCTGAGATGTGTAGGTAAAGCTCTAAAATGCGAACAGACATTCAGACATAGAAGTGCTTTATATATTTCAAGTTGCGTACATACGAGTGTGTGTGTATACACATACACACACATACACACATGCATACATGTATACAATGCAATAAAAGCAAGTTGTGTTGCTGCCTACACTTGTTGGTTCTTACCTACATATCTGTTAGTACACTCATACATATATAGTGGCATATGTATGTGGTGGGGCATAATGATCGTGCTTTCAGTCTGGCATGATGTTTTGGTAAGCAAAAGCAGCGGACGTTGGGGCAAGGAGGGGACAGCTTTGAAGCCCACTCTGCTTTCTAAACGCAGCGCTTTGTGTTGGCTGAATTGTCGGAGCCAAAAGTGGTTCCAGCCACCAAATGAACGATCAGTTCGCTTTGGGCATTGCTACGCGTTGGACGCGATCTTCGGAAAACCAATTTCAATTTGTAAACGATAAACGAAACGACTGATACACAACTACACAACACCAAGGCATTGGCAAGCAGCGACTAATTAAAAAATAGCCACATAAAAAGTGAAGAAAAAAGGAAAAAAGCAAAGCTAAAAAATAGTGTTGTTATACCGATTCTTTCGGATTCTGTGCTTGTGTGTTTTGTGAATAAGAATTGTTGCTTGACACGATAATATTCATACTTAATTCTTTTAAATTTGTTACATACTTGTAAGATTATTTTTTGTTTCTGTATTAACTACATATATATGTACATACATTGTGCTTTAACAAAATTGCCCTAATCGTCGTGTAAATTTGTATAAAATTAACAATAACGAATTTATTTGTGTGTGCCCTAGTTACCCGTTAAAACAACTGTGATCTACAAAAGACATAAATTAAAAAAGTAAAAAAAAATTTATTTGCAAATTCGTGTGATTTAATTTTGAAATATTAATAAAATGGTCTCAAAAGGTAATAAGAAAAAGCAGCAGCAGCAGCAGCAGCAAGTAAGTGCCAGCAGCAGCAAAAATGCTGCAAGCACAAGCAGCATTACATCAAATTCTTCGACAACCGTGGTGCGAACTGCTGGCACGCAAGCAGCATCGACTAGCGCGTCGGCGGTGGAGGTGGAAACAACTCCGACAATGTTGCAGGCGACACAATCGCCTACGTGGACGAAAACTTCACAGAAAATACAAAAGTCCGAATCGGCTGCTAGCAGCAAGTCTATGCTAGCTACCACACACTCTGGCACGCAGTCGCAATCGCAGTCGCAATCGCAATCGCAGTTCCAGTTGTTCAAGAGCAGTAGTAATAGCAGCAACCATATTGAGTCGGGGCTAGAACAACATCAGGGACTGCAAAAAATGGAACAACAGCAGCAACAACAGCACTTTGAAATCGACAGCCACACCGGCGGCATCAGCGGCATCAGCGGCGATACACCACCAGTGGTTTCCATAATGAGTGAGACAGTAAAATCGACGAAAGCATCATCCTCATCATCCTCATTTCAACAGAAATCGGAATACTATGAAGAGATCTCGAATGATTTTTCGAATGCGTCCAATGCGAAAATTATATCATCCATCGATCTGCTCGAAAGCGATAAAAAGGAACCGGTTTTTTCAGTGCCGATCGATGTCATTGAAATAGTTGGTGGCAGCAGCTCCAACATTGGCAGCAGTTATGCAAATACCTACACATCCTCTTCCCAGTCACAAAGCGGTGCAATGACTAGCATGAGCAGCTCCAATTTCGCACAAATCGAGTCTACAAGCAGTAGCAGTAAGGTTATTGATGGTGGAATTACGATCACCGATATGTCCACTGAAAATTCAAAGTCTACCTTGTCTACATCGAAAACAGCAAAGTCGGGCAAAGTCACATCTACGAATGTTGAAATGACATCATCGTCAAACAAGTTTTTAGCGAATGACGTGAACAACAGTAGCGCTGAAATAAACAGCTATACATCGTATACGACGATTGATGGTCAAGCCATTAATGGTGGTACAACACCAGCAATAGCGCCGATAATTACATCGCCTACAACACCAACAAATCAAACCTCGACGGCATTTACAAAAGGTACACAGAGAGCAATTGATGACGACATTGTATCAACCACATGCTATAACTACTCAATTCAAGGTGATAATGATACAAGACTAAGTAAAACAGAGAAAAACTTGAAGAGTGACGTGAGTAGTAGCAAGCAATTGGCTTCACGTAAGACAAACAAATCGTCAAAATCATCATCTATTATAGAGCAAAACATCTCTGAGCAAACAATCGAGGAAAGCTCAGTGCAGAAAAGCAAGTCCACCTCAAAGAAAGAGGTGTATGATGTAAAAACCAAAAGATGGACAGAACTGAATGAAAAGACCGGCAATGGTGTTACAAACAAAAAGCAACCGACCTTTGAGCGTTACGTTAGTCGCGAGTCCGATGGTACATACAAAATTACATATAAGAAAAAAATATTCGACCAGCGTGCGAACAAGTGGAAAATCATAGAAGAGAAGACAGTGGATAGTACTCATGACACTCATTACCCCGAAATAGTTGATGATGTCATCAATACAACAACCACAACATATACAACCAAAGTGTATGATACGAAGACGGGAGAGTGGAAAGTTGTTGAAGAGAAATCGTTTGTCGATTCAAAAGCTTTCGTGCCAAACGACATTGTTCGTGAAATCGAAAAAGACAACACTGATGTGGCCAACATAACAACAACCACCGAAGTCACAAAGGTAATTAATTAATCTATATGTACGTACTTAGACAAAATTATGTGTGTGTTTACATATGTACGTACCTAAATATGTTTGTGTATTGTTGAGAATTGTTTTTGTATCTCAGTCTATAAAACTTACTCCACATTGTTTTCGAATTCGCGCTTTTGTCTGAACAAAGTTGTGTTGTGCTCTTATCACTACTACGGTAATTCATTTCAGAATTCAAAATTCGAAAAGTATTTTTTATTATAAACGCGATGATTATTACTTGATTTTTTAAATTTTCAAACAAATTCAAAAGTCAATAGATAATACAGCAAAATCTGTAATAGTATTGCACTTTTACCGTCTCTGCTCGGTGCAACCTAAACAGAATACAAAACGCCTTATTCAGATAGTGACAGTCTCATGGCATGAAATTTCAGTTTTCTTGCATGAGTACTCCAGATATATATGGGAACATTAAGGATTCGAATATTATGCGATTGAGATTATACAATATGTTGTAATTACTAAAATAATTACGAGTAATCCTACTGTCTTGCTTGTGGGATTATGCCAGTAATTGTTGTAATTATTGACAGCTGTTCAAAACTCTTGAAAGAATAGTCTTTTTTGTAACTCATTTAATGTTAGTTACTAATTCGTCAAACCATTCTATATTATTTGCATATCTCAAATTAAGTTGAGTACTTCGGAAGGTAGTAACCAGAATTGTGCTGTGAAATTAAATAAAAAGTGCTTGATGAGTTAAATAGATTCCTTCTTTTGGTAACAAAGAATCAAAATTTATATGAATGAATTAAAGAAATCACATCAAGAACTGGCATAACATCCTCTTATCTTACGAGAAGCTGGAAGTATTTTTATGTATTTGGCATATCAAAAAATTCTGATTAAAACTACACGCCTTTGAAATGGTTATAGTGATTAAAAATGTTTATTTTTTTACTCAAAATAATAACTATTTTTTAAATGAAAAGTGGCAACAAATAAATTGACCAAAAAAAAATTGATAGTTCTTATCAGCCTCAGCTCTTACTTACTTTTATTTTTAGGTTCAATTCACCGTGAAAATGTGTTTAAATAATGAGTTTCATTGCATTAATTACTTGTTTTTTGCTTACACCAATAAACACACCCTAAAGTCCCTAAACGCACATTAATATTCCCATACAACGATTAGAAAACATTGTCTTACTACTGGCAGCTTTTGTGTGGATTTTTAATGCCTGTTTTTCGTGAGCAAAAGAGAGCAAATTTTGTGTTATCACCCAATACGAAAAACTGCAGGAAAAGAGCGTCACAATAATTTTGAGCGTGTGTAGTCTACCTAACAGATATAGTACATATCTTTCATGCATGTATTGCATATTTGTACATAGGTATGTAAATTTCAATCGTCACAATGAATAATGAGTAAGGTCATTTCGGTATATTTTCAAAACTTCGTTTTTAAAAACAATTTCATAGTTAATATAAAAAAATAATAACAAAGATTGAAATAGTTAGTGTAAGTAAGGGTAAAGAATTAGATACAAATAATATAAATATTAGGGAAATCAGTGAATCGCAAAGCAATCCATGTCATTCACAGATCGATTTTCTTCTGCAGACGGGACAGTGTATTGGAGGATATAGACAAAACAAAATTTATTTGAAACTTTAATAATATAAATAATATGTATGTACATAACTAAATAAATAAATATGTATAACTGAATTGCTCCCTCTACTATTCTTACTAATGCAAAAAAAATACCCAAGTACAGAAAAAAATTATTATTTAAAATATTTTTTTTAAATGCCGTGCCGTTTTTTTAAGTGATGAGTTTCTCGCCACTGCAATGCCAAGCGAAACCTCCCATGTGACATTTTCCTATTTAATATTTTTATACTCAATTCAACTTAAGTTCCTATACCTTGCGGCAAGAGATACTACTAATGTCGTTCGTTTAAATATTTATGCATTCCAGCGCGTGTTGAAACCTCTAATATATCATACATACATCCATACGCATTGTAAATGTTTAGAAGCGTATTAGAGAAACTGAGAGATGAGCGTTTGAGGTTTTGCGTGTTTTTTGTTTAATTTTTGCGTTCATAGTAAAGCAATAGCACAACATACCTGTGCATATACCGCATATACACATACATATAATATGTACATATGTATGTATATGGGTACGTTCGTGTGTTCACAGTTGAGTCAGAATATCAATTATTGACTTTCAGTCATATAAATAAATAACAACCATAAATTAATGAATAATAATGTTTGTTTTTTAAATTTAAGCGGTCTTTCTGTCCCTGTGTCACATGCTTACCCATTTTGTTTTTAGAAATTCGCACAATTCGTAGGTACATGGATGCATGGAAATTAATTAAAATTACCTAAATTCGACTAATTAAATTAATAAATATTTATACACACGTTTATACAAACTCTTCATGTGTATGTACTCGTACATATGTGAGTATGCAAGTATGTATGTAAACATACGAGTATATGCATATGCACAAATATCAATACTAAATTGAGTTGGCTTCTGTTCTCACATTCACCTGTAGAGCACTAAAAGAGTATGAGAGAGACGTGCCCCTTTGAAAGCAAGCCGATTTTAGTGTTGGTAAAAGAACAAAAATCAAAACTTGCATCCTGATAACTACTTTTATAATTTTCATGTTTACTAGAATATTTCGCTTCTTCTTTGAATGTAATTGAATGAATTTCGTCTGATATTCGCTAACGAAGGCGGTTGTAAATTGAAGTTGGAATTGTCGCAGTCATCCACGCAACCGCTATAGATACGAGACGACTTTCAAAAATATCCGTGACTCTCGCACTAAAGTTTACTATTGAACTTTTTGCATTTTAGATCCACCTTCGAAAATCTCACACTTTGTCAAGATGTGTATTAGTAGTTTATGAGACAAATGAGCAAGTAATTCGAATATTCGATGTAAAGAAAAAACTAAAAAGCTCGTTAAGTAAAATGTAGCCGATCTTACATTGGTTTACCATTCATTAATTTTAAGACGTTGTACGAAGTTTGTTCAAAAAATATCGCGAATTTTGTGTTTTTTCAAAAATTATTTATTTATTTATGAATATCTATTTTGTCCCCTTCAAAGTAATCCCAATGAGATATTATACACTTGTGCCAACGGTTTTTCCAATCTTCGAAGCACTTCAAAAAATCATTTTTTTATCTTGTTCAGCTCCTTCTTCGATGCCGTCTTTATCTCGTCAATCGTAGCGTAACGTCGTCCTTTCATGGGCCTCTCCAGTTTAGGAAACAAGAAAAAGTCACAGGGGGCCAGATCTGGGGAATACGATGGCTGCGGCATCATTAGCGTGTTGTTTTTGGCCAAAAAGTCGCGCACAAGCAACGATGTGTGAGCAGGGGCGTTATCGTGGTGCAAAGCCATTTTTTGTTCTTCCACAAATCCGGGTGTTTCAGGCGGATTGCTTCGCGCAAATTGCGCATAAAATGCAGTTAATATTCCTTATTGACCGTTTTAGCCTGTCGTGAGAACTCATGATGCACCAAGCCCCTGCAATTAATTTTTTCGTCTGTTGTTAAAGTGCTCGGGCGTCCGGCACGCTCCTCGTCGTGCACATCTTCGCGGCCTTCTGAGAACATTTTGTACCATCGATAAACATTGCTTCTGTAATGCATCCGCGCCCTTAACTTCGTTTTTCACACAGAATTTGATCAATTTTTTTGAATCGGTAAAAATCGTAGGCCATCCAAAACACGTGCAAGCAAAGCAGCAAGCAGCAAGCAACAATTAAGTGAACATTCAAAATGGCCGAGCTTCTCGGCATAAGTGACAGACATGAGTACCAGCATAGCGCCACAAAAAAATCGAAATTCGATTATACGTAACCCGCGAAATTTCAAAATTCGCGATACTTTTTGAACACACCTCGTATAGAGTGAGGACTGCGTGGATCGCCGCCATAAGAACATTCATTTCGCAAACTCGTCGAATATTGTCATTTGCAATTTTGCGTCTTATAGAAATGAGCGCATGAGAAAAACGACCTTGCCGTGTGATGCCGGGTTGTGTTTAAAGCAATAATTTGAATGATGAGTAAAATATAGTTTTTTATTTTAAAATCATTGATTGATTACAATATATGAATATGTCTCTTATTGGTATGGGCTCTGGAGCTCGAATAGTTTTCCAGCAATACAGTAAAGAAAGTTATCTTGTCTTACACCTCGAAGGCTTCAAGTAAAAAGTCACCTTTTGTCGATTTATTTATGTATACCATTAAGTGCACCCAATGGAGTCCTGCATTTAACATTTCCTTATTTTAAATTTTCAGATTTTTGATGCTAGTTTGAACGATTGGCGTGTGTTGGATGAAAAAACTCACACCGATGTGATTGAGAGAATTGTTGAAACGCCCAAAAAGACAATTTACGTTGATGAATATGTCGAAATCGAAAAAAATTTGGAGATCACAGAAGATAGTGAAAACATAACTAATGAACGTACTAACATATCAAAACGAAAGGATATTAGCACAAATATATACGATGAAGTTGACGAGGTTAGGAAAGAAAATTTGACTTCTAATGACTCAAGAATCGTAAGTTGCACTAGCATATATGTACATATGTATATAGATGTGTACAAATACACAATATATATGTAGGTATATTTTTAGTAGCATATTAATTGTAAAAATTTTATTTTAGCGTGGAGTCGAAAAAAAGGATGCGTTTAAATCAAGCCACACTGAAATGTGTATATGCGAAATTTGTACTTGCGGGTAAGAAAAGGGCCATGATCTTTCCATTCCACATTCCCTTACGAACTAATGTACGAATGTTAAAAACCACAATTTTCCATTTCAGTCGTCATCATTGCGCTTCAAGTGCAAAGCAGACGGACACTGTTATAGAGACTATAGGTGATTAGAGCTTAATGGTGTAAACTGGAGTAATATAAATTGAATTTCGTTATTTTTTCACTATTTACAGATTTGATAGATGAATCTCAATCGCGGATACGATCTAATACTTGGTCTAAAAAAGACATAGAAGAATCTCGCTTAAAGTTATTATATGATCTTAACGAGAAAGTAACTGTAATAAAACCTGTGGATAATTTAAAACCAGAGGGTGAATTCGTACTGCCCGATAAAACTCCTTTCCAACCGGCAGAGAAAACAGAGCGAATTGTTAGAAAAGACAATCTGCGTACTGAGGGTGAAATGACATTTACCGAAAAGGAAGAATACCAGTATGTAGCACGACCTCAGCAAGTTATACCAACTGATAATTTGAAACCGGAAGGCGAGTTCTTTTTACCAGAAAAGTCAGAATATAAGCCAGCTGAAAAACCCGTGCAAGTAAAACATGAGGACAATTTGAAGCCGGAAGGAGAATTTTATGCTCCAGAGAAACCTAGCTATAAGCCAAGTGAAAGACCAATACAAAAAAAGCCAGAGGACAATTTAAAGCCAGAGGGTGAATTTATGGTACCCAAGAAGACACCATATGAACCAGCAGAACGGCCAACACGCATAATAAGAAAAGATAATCTTCGTACAGAAGGGGAAATGACATTCGAGACTAAAGAAGAGTATCAGTATATACTAAGGCCGGAGCAAGTAAAACCTACCGACAACCTAAAGCCTGAGGGAGAGTTTTACGTACCAGAGAAACCGAAGTATCAAATTTCTGAACGCCCAGTTCAGATTAAAAGGGACGATAATCTCAAGCCTGAGGGTGAGTTTTATACTCCAGAAAAACCTGGATATAGACCAGCAGAACGTCCTACGCAAAAGAAACCTGAAGACAATCTTCGACCCGAAGGCGAGTTCTACACACCTGAAAAACCTAAGTTCCGGCCAGGTGAGCGACCGACTCAAGTTAAACCGGAAGACAACCTGCGTCCAGAGGGTGAGTTTTACACTCCGGAGAAGCCAGGTTATAGGCCAGCTGAGCGTCCTTCTCAGAAGAAACCAGAAGATAACTTACGGCCGGAAGGTGAATTTTACACTCCTGAAAAACCAGGATTCAGACCAGCAGAACGACCAACTCAGAAAAAACAAAACGACAATTTAAGGCCAGAAGGTGAATTCTATGCTCCAGAGAAGCCAGAGTTCCAACCAGGCGAGCGTCCATCACAAGTGAGACATGCAGACAACTTACGCCCGGAAGGCGAATTCTATACTCCCGATAAACCTGGATACAGACCGGCAGAACGTCCAACACAAAAGAAGCCTGAAGATAACTTACGACCGGAAGGTGAATTCTACACTCCCGAGAAGCATGCATTCCGACCAGGTGAGCGACCAACACAGGTAAAGCCAGAAGATAACCTACGACCAGAGGGTGAATTTTATACTCCCGAAAAACCTGGATATAAGCCAGCAGAACGTCCAACTCAAAAAAGGCCAAATGACAATTTGAGGCCGGAAGGTGAATTTTATGCTCCAGAGAGGCCAGAGTTCCAACCAGGCGAGCGTCCGACCCAAGTGAGACATGCGGACAACTTGCGGCCGGAAGGCGAATTCTATACCCCCGAAAAACCTGGATACAGACCGGCAGAACGTCCAACACAAACGAAGCCTGAAGATAACTTAAGACCGGAAGGTGAATTTTATACTCCTGAAAAACCTGGTTATAGACCAGCAGAACGTCCAACACAAAAGAAGCCTGAAGATAACTTAAGACCGGAAGGTGAGTTTTACACTCCTGAAAAACCTGGATTCAGGCCGGCAGAACGACCAACTCAGAAAAAGCCGAATGATAATTTAAGGCCGGAAGGTGAATTTTATGCTCCAGAGAGACCAGAGTTCCAACCAGGCGAGCGTCCGACACAAGTAAGACATGCAGACAACTTGAGGCCGGAAGGCGAATTCTATACTCCTGAAAAACCTGGATACAGACCGGCAGAACGTCCAACACAAAAGAAGCCTGAAGATAACTTACGACCGGAAGNATTCCAACCAGGAGAGCGTCCAACTCAAGTAAAACACGCAGACAATTTGCGTCCTGAGGGAGAATTTTACACTCCTGAAAAACCCGGTTATAAGCCAGCAGAACGTCCTACGCAGAAACGTCCAGAAGACAATTTGAAACCCGAAGGCGAGTTCTATTCTCCAGAAAAACCTAGATTCCAACCAGGAGAGCGTCCAACTCAAGTTAAACACGCAGACAATTTGCGTCCTGAGGGAGAATTTTACACTCCTGAAAAACACGGTTATAAGCCAGCAGAACGTCCTACGCAAAAACGTCCCGAAGACAACTTGAAACCCGAAGGCGAATTCTATTCTCCAGAAAAGCCCAGATTCCAACCAGGAGAGCGTCCAACTCAAGTAAAACACGCTGACAATTTGCGTCCAGAGGGAGAATTTTACACTCCTGAAAAACCCGGTTATAAGCCAGCAGAACGTCCTATGCAAAAACGTCCCGAAGACAACTTGAAACCCGAAGGCGAATTCTATTCTCCAGAAAAACCCAGATTCCAACCAGGAGAGCGTCCAACTCAAGTAAAACACGCTGACAATTTGCGTCCTGAGGGAGAATTTTACACTCCTGAAAAACCCGGTTATAAGCCAGCAGAACGTCCTACGCAGAAACGTCCCGAAGACAACTTGAAACCCGAGGGCGAGTTTTATTCTCCAGAAAAACCCAAATTCCAACCAGGAGAGCGTCCATCTCAAGTAAAACACACAGACAATTTGCGTCCTGAGGGTGATTTTACTGTACCAGAGAAGATTGTCTTTAGACCTGCTGAAAAGACTGAACGCATTATAAGAAAAGACAATCTCCGATCCGAAGGTGAAATTATATTTAATGAGAAGTCGCAATACGTGTTTGTTAAGAAGCCGGATCAGATAAAACCAACAGATAACCTTAAACCAGAAGGAGAATTTTATAAAATTGAAAAACCATCTTACAAGCCAGGCGAACGACCTTTAGTCAAAATACCTAAAGATAATTTAAAAGTTGAAGGTGAGTTTACTGTACCTGAAAAAACCTCATTTAAGCCTGCCGAAAAAACTCAACGAATTTTAAGAAAAGACAATTTGCGTATGGAAGGTGAAATGACATTTTCGGAGAATAAAAAGTATCAGTTTGTAAATAGACCCGAACAAGTTAAGCCATCCGATAATTTGAAACCGGAGGGTGATTTTTACACACCTGATAAGCCGGGATATAAACCGGCTGAAATTGTCAGACGCGTCATTCATAAAGATAATCTGCGAATGGAGGGGGAGATGACTTTTACAGAAAAAGAAAAACATGTCAATGTTAAAAGACCAGAGAAAATTGTGCCGCGAAATAACCTTAAAACTGAAGGAGAGTTCTACACTAAGGAAAAAACACAATATCAGCCAGTAGAACGGCCGAAACAAAAAATTCCTGAAGATAATCTCAAGCCAGAAGGCAAAATGTATATATCGTCCACAGACAAAACGGATTCCAAACATATGAAAACCACCACCGAAAAAGTAGTTGTAAAACGTCCAGTGGATAACCTTAAACTTGAAGGTACTCTTCAGGTTTCAAGAAGAGACGATTACAGTGAAAAACAAAGCTCAATAGCTGACACAACTACTACTAAAACTATGCAGAAAACTTCAAGATCGAAGTATACACACAACAAGTCTTCCATATCTCTTGGTGAGGATAGCGCTATTCTGAAGACAACTAATCAAATGAGTTTTGTATCTGGAAAACAAGCTATTCCAGTTGCTAACTTGAGTTCTGAAAAGCCTGTAGATGGCTTAGTGGTAGTGTCTACGAAAAAAGTAACCACCGTCATAGGAGGTCGCGCCAAAAAAGAACCTGAAACTGAATATGTTAAGCGACAAGAGAGGGTGAATGTTATTGAGAATATCGCGAAATCCAATAACGTGAAAAATGTTATCAACATTGAAAATAAGCATGACGAAGCAATTACTCTCAAGGAAAATCGCATCATAACAGAAAAGAAAACAAAGGATTCACGAATGAATATTTCAGATAGCGCGTCCTCCTCTGTTATCCAAAGCAAAGCCAATAATATCACTGGACAAGATCATTCCGTTCAGTGTCAACTTGGTGGAGTAGATATCACATCAACAAAAATGAATACCGTCTCATCGGCAAGAAATATTTCAGACCAAACACATTCCATACAAAGTAAATCGACTGCAACTGAAAGTGCGTTAACAAAGACATCATCCAGTTCTTCTGCTGCAACCATGTCCAAACACTTTCATCATCGAAGAAGCGACTTCACTGCCGACACAAACGTGACGAACTCAGTATTTCATCGCAAAACCATCTCAAACGATTCCAATCAAATAGGTAGTCTTACTTCAAACGGTAAAATCCATCGAAAGAGTATTTTAAATTTGCACGAGGAGCCATCGAGCACTGTTTTCCCAAGCGAACGTCAAAGCTACAGTAGTTTACATAGACAAAGTAGGGAGCAAGACAACAGTTCATTTTTAGTGAGTGAACGGCGCAACTACAATGCAGTTAATCAATCGCAAAGCAGAGATCAGACCGCCAAATCGTGCAGTGTACACAAAGTATCCTCCGCCAGTGGTATCGATTTCCCCTCGTACAGCAAACATTCCGAAAGAACTGTATCCCGTAGAAATGTGAACCAGTCATCAATTTCTTTAGGCATGGATGGAGTTACGTCTACCAGTCTATATCGTAGTGAATATAAAACCGTTCCCTCGACAACTTGTGCTATACACAAAATAAAAGAAGGTGCATTCCAGCATACAAGAAACACGAACGAACATAAATTTTTTAAAACCGTCAAAAATTAACAGATCCACATAATTTAAGTGCTGACATAAATAACAACATATCTCTAATATTATATTGTATTGTACTTGTACATACTCGTATACTCGTAAATGTGTATGCAAGTAATAAGCATGCGAATTTGCCACATGTAATTAATAAATTTTATAGCATAAAAAATATATTTAATAAATAATATTCACATAATATACACGTATGTATGTATTTGCTATTTGAATTCCCTTCTTCTCCTTGATTGGCGTAATCTCCACTTAATCAATTACAGCCGAGTCAACGATAGCCCGACATTCATTTCTTCTCTAGGTAGTTCTTTAGCGATAAGAGATAAAAAGTGAAGGCAAGTCCTGTCTTTTATATTACTGATGTATGTCAATATCGTCGAATGTCTCTAACAGCTCATATTAGTATCATCTACGGTATACAAAGCAATCCATAAATCTCCAGCAAAACTCGAGCTCTCGAAGAATTCAAAAGCCGATGTTATCATCGACACAAAGAAGTACGGGAATGATGAGTGACTTGTATAGTTTGCGTTTTTTTTTTTGTGAAAATAGGACTCAAATGGGTATTGAATCCAAAGTAAGATTTCTCGTCCAGAGGGATTCTTCGTTGGATTTCGTTACATCTTCAAAGCTATGACTGCTTTGCATTTTTGTTTGGTGACGGAGGATATTTCCTCTTGTCCTTACTCCCCACCAGACTCGTTCGCTTCGCTTCCTCATATAGTCTGGAGAAAGCAAAACATACGGGACGGTTGCTGAGGCCGATGAAATCAATATCTATACGATAGCAAATGTACGCTTATAAGATTTAATGTTCTCTACCGACTTCTGCAACTTGTCTGAAACTTAGTTTAATTTGGAACGACTGTAAGAGGTCCTACCCAATTCCGACACTGGTTTTTGGGTTTGCTTAGCATCGATTTGCATAGTCGCTTGAATAGCTTAATGAGTTGATCATCGCTATTGTTGTAGGTGACAGTCCTTGGCCGGGTAAAAAAAAAGCGGGTCGTTTCGGTATAAAGACCCAACTATCGCGGGAACTATTGGAGGGGGGACCATCAGTTCTTACCGTTTGGTTATTCTTCAAACGGGCAAACGGAATTGAAATTCATAATCCGATTAAGATAAGTACAACTTTTCGTCGTCGAACTTTTTAAGTGTTTTTGGACTCGTATGCCTGGCTGCACAGAAATGACAATATAATGGTCCGAGTCGATGTAGATGTAAGGATTCAGGAGAGTACTTATATCTAAGAAACTGGAAACACGTCAATCACAAGAGGTTTCATATGTTATCGAGTTTTTCTATCTGGCAAAATATTTTCATGCGTTGTTTTGTATCGGAATCTGGTGTTACAGATAACTATATTTCGAGACCGACGAAGTCAATCAACCTCAGTACCAAATTATAGTCGTCAAACACGATTTTGAGGTTGTGACGGGAACAGCTCTCCAGAAAGATGAGCTGAGTTGATTACGACAAAATTATCTCCTTGTCTTGCCGTCTGCGCACTCAGTTTTTATAATTTTTGAAATCAGTTAATAAATAAATAAATATAAATAATTCACACGCAATGAATAAAATACTTCGGAATAGCGCCTAAACAAAGTAGCATTCGTTTCTTATTCTCATTCATTCAGTTTTCACAATTGAGGCAAATCAAGAGATGCGCTCTAATTGTGACGTTTACCGTATATTTTCCGTAAGTTACGCGTTACGCACTATTTTAAAAATTAGACTTGAGACTACGTTGAGTTAAAAAACTGAGCGCCAGTGTAGAAAACAAGTTGTAAATGGAAAATCAATTCGAGTATTATCGGCATATTTTATTCTTTTACTTCGAGAAAGCAAAAATGCTGTTAAACTCTTTGGCTAATAAGGCAAAAGCAGCCTCAGACCCCTGTTAGAAGTTGCATTCGATCTTGGATTGTGGTCGAAAAACTGGTCGAACCATTTTTCGTTAGGTATTGAGGCTTCTTATTCTGGGGTTTCGATGAATTTCGATAAACTGAACTGTTCACAATGGATGTATTCGGTCAGCTGTGATAAAATATAAATGTAGAAGCAAATATAAAAGCGAAGTATTACCAATATAATGTTGCGAAAATGCGAGGCGAATGTCAGATGAAAGAGAGAAGCCGATAACTAGTACATTCTAGAACGATAAAACGATATAGCCGACTGCTATATAAGGGCGGCACTCAGTTGCCAAGTTAGGTCAGTTACAAAGTGAACTCGTTGGCGTTAACATCAGTAAAGTCGTAAAGTAAACGCGTTGGAGATTACATTTAAGTAGAGTAAGTTGTGAAAGTTCATGAATCACTTACATGAAGGTAGTAAAGTGCATTGTAATTGAATTGTGAATTACTGAGTAAATAAAGGACATTAGATAAATTTTTTGTAACGAAAGAAACTGCAAATTAAGTTGGCGAGTTTTATTTAACAATCCAGAGATCGTACCTGAAGAATTCAGAGAATCATCGAGGTTGATTCACCAAAATCGTAACAATAAAAATATAAGAATCAACTAGGCAAGAAAAATGTGCCCACATTAAAATTGGAGTTCGGCGTCCCTACAGATGAGAAGGACTCAAGCTAGAAATAAAAAACGATTGAGAGACACTTTCCAAGCCTTTGCAAATATATTTAAGTGCGTGAGTTCAATTTTTTTAAATAAGTTCTTCTTTTTGTGATAATTATAATTTTTTATTTATTTATAAAATACTTTCCATTCATTATCTAAAAAAACGTTGAATTCCATGTCCATTTTAGATGTTGATTAACGGTTTTTGTATCAATAATTGTACTGAAAAGTGTTAAATATGTATAAGTATTATAAGTACTCTCTTTCTTTTTATTCTTCACAACTTGTTAGTTTCTTTGTATTTTAGAGGCAAGTGTAACCGCAAAATTCTGTGATCGGTCTCTCGCCCAGGCCGGTCCGGACTTACATGTTTTTTGGATTGGAGGTAGGTAAAGCTGAGTGGGTCTTAATATTTTTGGTTTATCTGGTGTGCCCAGATGATAGCCTTGAAATCCAACGCAGAATCGCAGAATTGGAGTTTCGGGTTCACCATCTCCGGGTGTATCATTTGCACTGCCATTCAGCAGGACGGAGAAGTGTTCTCTCTATAAGTTCAGTTTTCTCTGGATATCCGTCTCTAGCTCACCCATATGGGTCCTACAGGAGCTTGCTTCGGTATTGAAACCAGCCATAAGTCACCTTATTTTTTCGAAGAATTTTCGAGCATTACCCTTGTCGGCCAGCTTCTCAAGCTCTTCGTGTAAGCCAGCGAAGTTGCTGTATTTGGGACGAAGAGCAATCTAAAGATCGGTGGAACAGTTTTTCCTGAAGGGTTAAGTAAAGTCTAAAATCTATGCGGACAATCCCTCTTCCATTCAGGCCTTGGAGCAAAACATCGATAGTGTCATTCGCCAAATTCCAGTTAAAATGCTCGAACGAAACATTGAAAATTGGACTCAACGGATGGACTATCTCAGACGTAACCAAGACATACATTTGAAAGAGATAATCTTCAAAAAACAAATGCCAAAGAAAGTTCTTTCTAATGATTATAAAGGTTCCCCATTATATTTTGCAATTTCTGAATTATTTCTTTTTTTATCATTAAAAAAGGATTGAGCATCGGAATGGACCACCCTTTCAATTGTATATGTGAGCCACTTCTTCGCTGCTCGAAGTCTTTAACGAAATTATCTTTGAGAAATCATACTAAATGTTAACAATCTGTCGGTGATCCCTTTGCCGTAAAGAAAGTATTATTTGTATGCCGAGCAAAGCGAACGTGGTCCCAAGTCTCTGGTCCATTTCCAGGAAACCAAAGTATTTCATTTAGGTATATTATCCGAAAACTTAGCTAAAACAGCCATGCAAACTTATAATTAAAATAAGATCCACTTTCCGAAAAAAAACTCGAGCAGAAATGTGTATTAATCCAATACTTTCGCGAAAAGCTACCTATTTACCGAATTTCAAGTCAATCGAGCCATAAATAAGACTTTATCGATTAGGGCAGTCCTTGGTCCACTTACTGCAAAACTAATTTCGGTCTTGATAAGATTTACATATATATATGTATGTATATAGATAGATAAATACTAACACTTTGTTTTCTACGCTTAATTTGGACTTAGAACATGTAGTCCAACGCGACTTCGGAAATCTTTAATTCAGTGTCAGTGATCTTTGTTTATATGACTTAGGACTTTTAACGCTGAAATTAAGTCTGGTCATGACATTAATAAATTCCCATCCTCTGGAGATATTAGTCTAGATTCTCAGAAATAATATTTTGTATTGTAGCACGTCCTTTTTCGGTAAAAATCCTCAGACTGAACCCTCCCCAAAGATGTCGGCTGGCAATGGATAATACATAGCAATCCCATTCGTTGTCGGTAGGATCTTCAGCAAAGATCAGGTATTAGTGTTATGTGCGTATGCTCCCCAATAACTATGCCATATAGAAATGGTTCTTAATCGTGGTTGATGGGTGGGGCCGGATCAAGGTGTTACGCGTTTAAATATCTCAATCTCGAACTTGTCCTTGCCCGAGTGTTGCAGATCTCTGCTCGAGTAGGATAAACGAAACAGGAAAACCAAAAAATACCGGCAAAAAGCCGGTAGTGCAGAAGCTTATAAGCTTGGGTAGCAATGGTAAGCAGGGGGGCAGAGAGTGGATTCTTTAATAAATATTCCTGGCACCGGCGTAGTTGGTCCAGGATAGTTGATTGCTGCCTCGAGTATCAGCGAAGGCAGTGTGCTGCTACAAAACCGAGGATCTTCAAAATATCAAAACGGAAACTACAAATATGTAAGGCTCTCCGAGAGGATCCTAAAAATACGCTTTGTTGAGTGACCAGACGAGCAGAGCAGAAAGCAGCGATATCAGGGAAATACAAGCAAAGAAACAGTGGGCCAAATTAATCCTTCCAAATTTCACTCTGTACCTATTTGATGGTTCACACAGGTCCCACTTAAAAATTGAAGTGATAAAGGTGGAGCCTAGCTCCAACGCGATCCATCAAGCAGGGATAATGTAAAAAATCTACTGGTTGATGCAAAGCGGAAGAAATTGACGTTGAGGATGAAGTCGAGGAGTAGAGTAAGAGGACGCCACTGGACGATCCTATGGATCTCATGAATGGCTTCATCCACTTCGTCCTTA